GACAGGGTCTCACTATGTAGTTGAGACTGACCTGGAACTCACTATGTAGCCCAGGCTGATCTCGAACTCACAGTGATCCTCCTGCCTCAGCCTCCCGAGTGCTGGGATTACAGGTGTGAGCCACCACGCCCAGCCAGGTGCTTTTCATATATCCCGTGTTTGCCATACAAGTACTTGTTAAAGGAATGAAAAACTGCAGTCTGGTCCATTTTAGGATGCTTCAGTAATTGTAGTTCAGATGCAGTAGGCCCTAATGCTTTGCTACCATGAAAAATGTCTCTTGCCCTTACGTGTTTTCTAAGTATCCAAGTTTTAAGCATAAATATTTAATTAATATTTAATTAAGCTCAGCCATCCTGGCTGAACAGCATTTGAAATCAAGCAAATTCAGACAACACCACTATGACCTTTCGTTTAATTTTAATAAAGGGATCGTCAAGGTACCTGTCAAAGTATATTTAGGAAATGAATTGTGTTACTTTTTCATGTTTTTCCTCATGATTTATGCTCATATCTTTCTAGCACTCTGATCTACAAATTTGGAAGAACCGAAGAGCTCTGGACCTGAGATCACTTCTTAAATCACATTTTCCTTTTGTCTATTTGTAGATAAACTCTCCCTCCCCCCATTGAACTCAGGACCTTGTGCTTGCTAGGCAGGCAGGGTACCACTGAGCTACATCCCCAGCTTAGATAAGCTTTTATCTCTCAATATAATTTACATATTGCCAGATGGAATCGATTGTACGTTAAATGTTTTTATTTCTTTACTTTTTATGCCCTGAGTTCTGAAATAGGTTTATAAAATTTCTGTCCTTTTTTCATGGGTGAGACTGTTAATATGTACATAATACAAGATTGTATGGATTGGATGATGAGTATCAGTTTTTTATTCCTAAGACATAAAGCTTGATCTGTTCCCTGAGCCAGGGTTGTGTCACCATGTCATTTTAGAGCTAAATACTGTCTCAGTGTGTCTAATTTTTGAAGATGTAAAAAAAAAATGTATCTCCATATACCTAGAATAAGTGCTGAGCCATTTAAAGAGGTATTTCTGCAAATTGTAATTTATTTTGGCTTAAAATGAGATTTTTTTTAAAGGAAAAAGTTTGTTTTTCTGTATTAAAGAGGTGGACTTTTATATGAAGATTTTTCAAATACCCACAGGACTAGTTTGAAAGCCTCTTTTAAATAGATTTCCTCTGCTATGTCTTCATTTGAGAAGGGATAATGCACGATCAAATAAACTGAGTTTTTATGGTTAACGTTTTATGGTTAATGTAAAGCTGCTCAGCAATGAGCTTCCTATAAAAGCACCTTCAGCGATCTGCTGGGTTCTCTTTTGACATGCCCACTGTTGTCTGGCATTACACAGTTGCATAGCAAGCAAGTCTGAGATGACTGCAGTTTAGAAGCATGAATCATTAACAAAAGGTAGAATAGTTTAAGGATAAAGCACTTCCTGGAGGGAATTATTATGACCTAGTAAAATTTAATTATTTCAACCACTTAGTTACTGGCTGCAAGTCTCTCTTTGCTGTAGCTCTGAAGCTTTGAATGAACAGTTGCTACAAAATATATCTTTAACTGAAATATCACACTCCAATCCAAAACATCTTTGACCTAGTCTGAAATACTGTATTTGTGCATTGCGTGTATTCTGTGGGGCTTTATTGCTAATTTTGCTTTCCTTTAGTATAAAGATTTTGTGTTGCACTTTTTTTCTCAGAGGGATTTTATAGAACCTTTTGTCCTAAAATGGGATAATATCAATAGTAGTATATGCACTTGTAATGCAAGCCTTATTCTGCATATCTCCTCTCTGAGAGGACTTGCTGTGCACAAAGTATGAAGCAGTTGTGGAAAGCTGTGCCTTTGTCTAGATGGCATCTTGTTCATTCTTTTTTTTTTTTCCTCAAAATGTCAGTGAGTTGTGTCTTGCTTCCAACAGATTTTGAGACTACTTGTTTGCACTCATAACCCATTTTTTTTTTTAAGAGTAGGAAAAGTTTATTGAGGGAAAGAAAGTTTCTGTGTAAGAGAGACAGAAGGGGGACCGGAAAGTGGGTTGACCGCTCACCCCACTTCTCCAAGATGTTTTATACAGCAAAGCCATATAGTGAGGTGGGTACAAAGTGGGACAAAACTCTAAGACCCAGTGGAAAATTATGAGGTGGGGCAATCAATAAGATTACAATATGACCATCCACTAAGATTATAAGTACAGTTATCCAGGAACTATTGATTAAATGGGGATCCAATGGGGGGGGGTAAGTCACATAGCAACTGTACAGGATTTTCAGTAAGAGCAGCAGTCAAGGATATTTCCTGGAAAGGCTGGGTTAAGACCTTGGCCCCCTACCCAAGTGATTGAAACCTGTTTGGAATGTCAGTCACTGGTATTTATCCCCAGGGGAAGCACAAAGGTATAGTAGTTTCTGTCCTTTTACAATTCTGGCCTTCAGTAATGTATCTTTTTTTTTTTTTTTTGCACCGGGGATCGAACTTGGGTCCTTGCACTTTCAAGGCAGGTGGTGGAACCACTGAGCTAAATCCCCAGCCCAAATGAATGTTTCTTGATTGTCCTGCATGTTGGCTCCTTGCTGTGTTGGCTCCTTGAGGATGGCCCTGTCTAACTGCCTACAACATAGCTAATTAACTTACCTATCTGCAATATTTCCCCTCTGAAGAAGTATCCCTAACTGCTGTGAGGCGGCAAAGGGTGAAGACAGCTCTAGCTACTTCCAGCTGAAGAGGGTTGTAGTTGTGATCAGTAGTTAGTTAATCTATAGAGGGTCTATCTAAAGGCCTTTGGTAGGTGCCTGGCATTGTCATCTTGGTAGCTGCATAGCTTTTAAGTCTGGAGGAGACAAAGACAAAGAAACAGTTAAGAATGCATGGGCCAAATTATAAGGTCAGCAGGATTTCTATGAATATAGCCCACAAAGAGGATAAGAAGGTCCAGGGGACTTCAGAATCCAACATAGAAGTCATGTTGTTTAATTTAGCAGTTATGAGCTGTTTATAAGGTTGATCTGTTGGATCTTGGTTAAAGAAGTCTAGCACATTTGTCATTGGTTGCATTTGTATGACCACTTGGAGTTTGGCAGCTTCAAAGATGTATAATACTGTAGGAAAAATTCCTTTGTGTCCTGGATCTTGTAGACCTTGAGGGGCCAGGGCCAAAATATTGGCTGTCCTCATAGCCCAGTTACCTTTCTAGTTTTGTTCTCCAGACATTCTGGAAGCTTTGTCTCTGACCAGTAATCTCAGTGGAAGACCTCCAAAATGATACAGAGGGAAGAGATGTAACCCCCAAACCTACTAGATGCCTGAAACTCGAGTATGTGTTCTCTAAAATCAAAGAATGAATCTAAGGCCAACAGAGGTTAAGAATAGGAAAAATTTATTGAGGGAAAGAAAGCTGGGGCCAGGGATTTAGCTCAGTGGTGCCACCACCTGCCTTGCAAGTGCAAGGACCTGAGTTCAATCCCTGGTACCAAAAAAATAAAACATGAAAGAAAGCTTCTGTCTAAGACAGAAGGGGGACTGGAAAGTGGGTTGCCCCTATTGCAATAAATATTACCTGTCACATATTCTGATATTGTTAAGTGTTTGAAAAAACGAACTATAAAAATTGATTTGCTGTTCATTTTTAATTATTCAGGTACATTGATCAAACAAGCAGTTCATCTTTATTTTAAAAAGGAGAAATACAATAATATACTCAAACTTTAAAATGCCAGTGTGAAGGTTTATGAAGGGTTTAGCCCTAAAAAAAAAGGGTATCCCTGAAGACCAACTGAAAATGATTTTTTTTCTATTCTTGACTCTGTCATGAATGTTTTCTTACTGTAAGCAAATCAGTTTTCTCAGTTTACTTTTCATTTAAATGAGAGCAACTGGTATCCACTCTTACAGATATTGTGAATTGATAGACTTCATACATACATGTGATTCCCTTAATAAAGGTCTCACTGTTACACAAGTTCAGTGGTTGTTGAGTATCTTTTATGTGTGCTTAATATTACCACCATATTCTGTTATATTTATTTCTTAAAATCCTTGTGTTACTGCCATTGATGAGAAAACAGGCTGGACTTTTCCATTTTATATGTGTGTGTGTGTGTGTGTGTGTGTGTGTGTGTGTGTGTGTGTATTTATATATCTATAAACAAGACATCAGCATACATTAACGTAATGAATTTGAAGGCTGTAAGAGATGAATGATACCAGAACATGTCAGGCACCCCAAGAGTGTTTGATGTTGATGCAAGATCCCCACCTGTTTGATTTGGTGCATTAAACTCATGTTCTGTACATTTTCCCCAATGGAAGAAATATTTCTATAAGGTCATATCAGAAGCATTTTTCATTGCTGTTTTATAGATTTGGTAGCTTCATATGAATCTCTGCCAGTCATATAAATTTATCCCTGTTCTTTCATGTACTATCCTGTCATCACTCATTTTGATTCTACTTAGAGATTGTGGAAGTTTGGGGCTACTTTTAGGTAGTGGGTGTTTTTTTTTTGTTTGTTTGTTTTAGTTTTTTGAGACAGGGTCTCACTATGTAGTTCACACTGCCCTGGAACTCACTATGTATCCCAGGCTGGTCTTGAAATCACAGCGATCCTCCTGCCTCAGCCTCCCGAGTGCTGGGATTACAGGTGTGCACCACCACACCCAGATACTTCTAGGTATTTTAATCTCAAGTGAGAAGTCTGTAAACCCTGTAGGAGAACATCTGAGGCTAATTTTATTCTAAACAAATTAGTTACATTTTGTTGTTAAAAGTATTCCAGCCTGTGCAATTTTTTCATAATAGTCTCTTCACTTATCACTTTATCTTCACTTTATCATTTCTTAAGATAAAGATTAGAAATTGAAATAGAAGCTATTTGAAGTAGAAATAATTATTATTAGTAGTATTTAGTGCTATGGATTGAACCTAAAGCCTTGTACTTGTTAAGCACATACTCTACCACCGAGTTACATCTCTAGCCTAATAATGCTGGGCACTGAAACCCAGGCTGATTAAAAAGTAAACACAAGAGGGCCAGGGATTAAGCTCTGGTGCTGCTGCCTGCCTTGTAAGCACAAGGTCCTGAGTTCGATCCCTGGCACCAAAAAATAAAAATAAAAATAAAAAAATAAAGACAAGAAACAAGATTTAGAGAGAGCTGGGTCTTGGGCTGATCAGTACTGCTTGGGACAGCAAACACAAGGGTGCCAAGTCACCCATTATTTTATTGACTACACGTGCCCAGCACCTGGAATTGGAAGCATCTGGTGTGGCTGACATGCCGGCAGGGATGGAAAGAAGGAAGGCACCGCTTGTGTTGTTTGGAGAGATCACAGGGTGCTGAGACTGGGCTGCAGGTAACCAGCACCCATCCGGTTAGTGAGAAGCCATAATTCAGGGGCAGGGGTTTGGTTGGAGCTGGGTTGGCTGGAGGTGAACTCAGCCGAGCCCTGCTATTTCACAGACTTAAGTTTCTTTTTTTTTTTTTTTTTTCTTTTATTGAGTTTGTTGGTACATTTTAGGTATACAGTACAATTACGTTTATTATTGGGATCTTGTACTTTACATGACAGGTCTTGGTTCTCATTTTTTTCTCTTGTCCCTGCCCTCCCTTCACCCCTTCCTCCCCTCCCCATTTACAAACACTTTATTTCCATTTACAAACACTTTATTTCCATTTTTTCATATTTTTTTCTTTTCCCTTTACCTTTCCCCTACCCTTCCAGTTTTCCCTACACCTTTAGCCCTTTTCTTCCCATTTCACAATGTCAGTAATCTCACTAGGATCTTATGTACTATTACATTTATTCACACCAGAGAAACTATTCGGTATTTACACATGTGTGACTTACTTATTTCACTTAGGAGTATGTCCTCAATATGTATCCATTTTCCTACGAGTGAATCTAATTTCTCATTCTTTATGGCTGAGTAGTATTCCATTTTATAGAAAAACCACATCTCTTTATCCAGTTTCCAACTGATGGGCAAATGGGCTGTTTCCAAGTTTTAGCTATTACAAACTGTGCCACTATAAACATAGGTGTGCATATATCACTGTGATATGATTCTTTTAATTCTTTTGGAAAGATACCCAGCAGAGGGATGGCTGGGTCAAATGGAACCTCTGGTCCCAGCTCTTTGAGGTATCTCCAAATTGATTTCCATAGTGGTTGCACCAGTCTGCACTCCCACCACCAATGGAGAAGGGTTCCTTTCTCCCCACAACCCAACCAACATTTGTTATTGTTTGATTTCTTGATAGCAGCCATTCTTTGTGGGGTGAGGTGGAATCTTAGTGTTGTTTTCATCTGCATCTCTCGAATGACCAGTGAACACAGACTTAAGTTTCAATAGCAGCCGTTATCAGAGGGGCAGTGCTAGCCCAACTCTGCTCTCTGACAGGCCCATTTGAGTCAGGTAAAGCTTTGGTCAGACCCCTAAGATAAAACAATATAGCCAAATTATGGAAAAGCAGCAGACATGGCCTGCTAGTACTACGCAGAGATGCCTGCTAAACTATTTCCATCACTTTATTGAGTCTTTTCCTTATCTTTCTGACTGAAAATGAATAGCCTGTTGTGATAGATGTAATGCTTTCCTGAAGAATCACTGAAATCAGAAAATGTTTATTTGATGCTATAGTCATTTTTCACCTGGAGGGAATTGTGACACAGCCCATTCTCATTTTCTTAGAAATAGTCTTATATTTCCATTTTATAAAAAAATGAACTAATTTGCATGCTACCTGGTTGTTTAAAGAATCCTCACTTATTCTCATCCCATGAATTTTAAAATTTTATACTTATTATATTGACACATTATCCGTGGGGTGCAAAACCGAGTTATGCTTTTCATCTGCAGTGTGGAGTAAATTAATGCAATTAACATGTCCATAATGTCAATGATCCCCTGAATTTCATTCTTGCCAAGCCCAAACTATTTTGTCATCTCTCCTCTTTTCCATTTCCCCCCATACTTTCAACTGGAGGAGTCAATTCCTGTTATTCAGAGTAGGTTGGT